ACAAGTACACATTTTAGCGTCTTTTGTATAACGACCCGAATAACGACCTTTGAGGTGTAAATTGTTCTAATTTCACTGTAATGATGTAAGGTTATTGGTTGGTTTGTTGTTTTACGCCGCACTAAGCAATATTCCAGCTTTATAGCGGCAGTCTGTAAGCGACCGTGTCTAGACCAGACAATCCAGTGATCAACATCATGAGCATCGATCTACGCAATTGTGACACGATAAGTGTCAACCAAGTCAGCGAGCCTGACCACCCGATCCCGTTAGTCGCCTTTGAAGACAAGCAGCGGTAACTAAAGATCAATGATGTAAGTAAACCACGCATTTAACCGACAGTGTTCGCCTTTGTGAGCCATAGTGCCAGAGTACAAATTCTAGTACTTTTGTTGGGTAGAGTCCCATCAGGAATTCGAACCAACACCCTCTGAGTCAGGCACCTAATCGCCAGCACACAAAGTCTGACGCCTACCTGCTCAGCCACCGCGGCTTCCACAAGTTTTGTGATTGTTGATTGATTGTTGTTAAAGTAGCAGCCAACAATATTCCAGCCATATGACGGTATAAAACAGAATTATATTTACTTTGATAAATACATTTCCCGTTTTTGTATGATTGTGTTTTTCAGAAGAGCGGGGATTGTGGATCGCCGATTCGTCTAAGACGCCCATATGCGCTGTGCAGAGTTACGCCCCTCAGACGTGCCAGAAACCTATGATCGAGGGTTCTAATCCCAGATTCGCCTGAATATGTTTCTACGTTTTTCAGCTCATGCAGTACGTGTGCACATGGTCAGATCTATTAGACATGCATCACGTTTCGCCTTCTTTCCAAGTCAGGCTGACACAACGTGATCCAACCGAAATACTGACAGTGTTTAAAGTGACGTGGGACAAACCCACTCTGTACCACATGTTTTCGCAAACGAATGGAGTATGCTTAAACTATTATAGAGCGGCTTGACCCCACAGCCAGACAGACGACTGTAAATGACAGGACATCATGACCTAGTCAAGAGTTCAGTAAGTATACACTGTCTTTCTATATATACACCAAATAGGTCGAGACACGTCATCACAGGCTCCTCGTCGTCTCTCATCACACAGGGGACCCGCCTCAATGTCACAGAGACCTGCCGATACTGGGGGACACTCGGGACCTTGAATGTGTTCTCACAAATGGGGCTTGTGTGCAAGTGCATCTTCATGTGCATCACGAATTCAGTTTTCTACATTTTGATTTATTACCTGATCCGATTTTTTAGCAAACATTATGTTTGTTTGTTTGTTTGTTGCTTATCGCCGCAATATTCCAGCTATATGTCGGCGGTCTGTACATAATCGAGTCTGGACCAGACAATACAGTGATCAAGGTCATGAGCATAGATCTATGCTATTGGGATATTAACCATGTAAGCGAGCCCGTTAGTTGCGTCTTACGACAAGTATGGGTTGCTGAAGACCAACTCTAACCCCGGTGTTCTCGGGTCACAAACAATATGAGTGACACATTCAGGAAGTGTATGTCCGTCATCGCCCTCGGCGAATTTGCTCGTGATATAACGAGGTAAAAGCGACAACATAAATTCATAAAAGTAGCCTTTCGGCCCACTATTTAAGTACTGAGCACACGAACCACCCTTGTAAACCTTATAGACCCGTGAAGGTCCGGGTTAGAATATTGCTCTTCAGTAACCAATGCTAGTCGTAAGTGGCGACTAACGGGATCGGGTAGTCAGGCTCGCTGACTTGGTAACACTTGGCATCGGTTCTCAATTGCGCAGATCGATGCTCATGGTGTTGATCACTGGATTGCCTGGTGCAAACTCATTTATTTACAGACTGCCGCCACATAGCTGGAATATTGCTGAGTGCGGCGTAAAACTCAACTCACTCACTCACAGTAAATCTTATATTTCAGCATGCCTCGGGTAACGGATTTGGCGCATTGTAATAATTATGTATATTATCATTTTGTAAATATTATCTGAAATGTTCATATGAATGAAAATTAACATTTGTTATACCGCTTAGGAAAAACGAACGTTCAGGGTTACGGCTAAAACGATTATGTGAAAAGATAAAGCATTAACTACATGTATATCTGAAAAAACTATTATCAGAAATCTAATTAAATGTAGATATTGACAGTACAAAAATATGGTTATCAATTCCACTAGAGTCGCATATATGCAATCACTATCACGTGTTTACTTCGAAGTTTAGTCTATTACGTACTGTAGCCTTTACTTCTGTTTGACTATGTCAAAAGTCCTCAACTTGCAAATGAGAGCTTACTTCCTAGTCATATAAACATGTTAATTTCATATTTCAAAATGACAATGCAGACATTTCTTAGTGGGTCGAAAGGTCATGTTCTCAGTCAATGAAAGCAAATAACGGCATTGACAATGTATACTGTATAAGTATGAATACTTACAGTGTGCGCCATCTGTAACAGGAAAGAGGACGTGGTTGAGGGGGTATAGGATGAAGGGCAACAGAGGGGAGGTACACAGTTGGCATGACGTGGCAGACATTTCACAGACAATGATTGACAAGTCGGCAGACAATGATTGTTCGATTTCCCCAACGGGTGCAGTGTGTGAAGCCCGTGATATTGCTGGAGGATCGCTAAAAGCGGCATAAACTAAACTCACTCACTCATTAATGTCTGAGAGTAAACCTAAAGAACAAGTCCAAGAGTACTATTCAGCATCTGCATAGGATCATTCCTCTGAGACCAGTAAAGATCCGAGTAAGAATTCAGCAACCCACGCTTGTTGTAAGAGGCGACTAACGGGATCGGGTGGTCAGGCTCGCTGACTTAGTTGACACATCGTATCCCAATTGCGTAGATCGATGCTCATGTTGTTGATCACTGGATTGTCTGGTCCAAACTCGATTATTTACAGACCGCCGTCATATGGCTGGAATATTGCTGAGTGCGGCGTAAAACAATCACCAAACCAAATCACTCCTTTGACCGAAGAAGACTACCTTGCAGTAGTATAGTATGTATATAACATGTATGATTGTATTTCAGTTCAGACGAACATTCACAGTGTAGTTTTGTGGCAGGTGCACCCTTCATTAACCAGGGAATTATATGGTTATTCTAGTATTATGGCCATCCTACCACAGAGGTAAAGTAAACAACAACAACAATATAGTATGAGATATAATGGTCACAGTGTGGGTGATGCAGGCAGGGGCAGTAAGCCGCGGTATTACCTCGGACCCCATACACATTACATACCCTGCTTCTTACATCCGATTTGAATGACCCAGCACTGAAAATAGCCGGTAAAGGATAACGTACAATATACACGGAATCAGTTTTCATATCGGGGATGTAACCTTTGCATTATTCCATAATTCTATTCAAATACTGAAACCTACCTCAGAAGAATCGTTTTGAAAACGTGGTCGCTGCTATGGTTACAGCCTGTCGAATATGCGCTGAAATTATTCCAAAAATTAAGCTGAAGCAAATATTTTTTTAAGTGGTTTAAACTTTTCAGCCAGATGATATCTGTTGCTGAGAGGTGAATGTTACCATCATTGTCTTTTTGCTTTAATCACTGCTGTTGTTGTATACTACCTCTCAGGGGCGGTGGGGTAGCCTAATGGTTAAAGCGTTGGCTCGTCACGCCGAAGACCCGGGTTCGAATCCCGACATGGGCACAATGTGTGAAGCCCATTTCTGGTGTCCCCCGCCGTGATGTTGCTGGAATATTGCTGAAAGCGGCGTAAAACCAAACTCAATCAGTCAGTCAGTACTGCCTCTCAATTAGCACTGCCACACTGCTACCATTGCATTGACTTGTGCACATAGTTCATTTTTGAATACAATTGTTAATGACAGCACATTTCTTTGTCGTTTGTAAGTTTCACATAATAGTTCTCTTACAGACTGATTCCTGGTTAAGTATTTAGCTTAGTTACACGTAACAGAAACTGAGGCTCGTCAGGAATCGAAATTTAATATATCACAAGAATAATTGTGAAATACACAATGCCATTTTTAGAATGTGGTCAAATGTAGCATATGTTATATTTGGGATTACACTTTCTCAGTAAAGTACACGCGGTGGCTGAGCGGTATAGGCGTCTGACTTTGTGTGCTGGCGATTAGGTGCCTGACTCTGAGGGTGTGGGTTCGAATCACGGATGGGACTCAACCCAAAAGAAAGTACTAGAATCTGTACTTTTACTAAGAAAGTGTAATCCCAAATATAACACATGTTACACAAGAATAATTGTCAAAGTTTTTCGATTAGAATGTTACTGTTGAACTGGTTGAATTGGCCAAATATTACAAACTTGACACCAGATCTGAAACTTTTTTTACAAGTCCGTTTTAGAGGACTTATACGGAAGCTCCTATGAAGATGATAGTAGGCCATGTTGAACAATTTGGAATAGATCGGAACTGCCAATGGATTGAGTGCACTTGCACAGTTACACTTTAGACGGCAGTATCCACACTAGGATGGCTAAGACGAAGACATAATATGGTCACATACAGGCCGAATTGTCTCCTCTGCATCTTCTGGGATAAAGGTAGTTGATTGTAAACCCTCATTCCTGTATAAAATCTACATGCAGGGTCAAGATGCCACAGGCTATAAAACCCTCACAATTTATATGAACTCATCTTGCTGTAACATGTTATACTATATCCCATTGTGTTGACATCAGCAACAACAAATGGCAGGTGTTTCATTTACGCAATATAGATACGCAGTTTCAAGCCTCACTGGACATTAATTGCGAACACAATCAGATGAATTACAACAACCATATCCCTGAGAGTCGGCAATCCTTGTACACAGTACCACAAAATCCTTGTACACAGTACCACAAATCATTGTACACAGTACCACAAAATCATTGTACACAGTACCACAAAATCCTTGTACACAGTACCACAAAATCCCTGTACACAGTACCACAAAATCCTTGTACACAGTACCACAAAATCCCTGTACAGTACCACAAAATCCTTGTACACAATCCTGCTGCAAAAGCAGCTTCACTTAGTGGGGCTCGGTGAAGTCTACAAGAAGTTGAATATTGTAATATTGACTGGTCGTAGCATATCAGTAAAATCAATATCCTGAATGAGAGCGGGAGTGTTACAGTGTTGATATTCATATGGTATGGTGTATCAGCAGATGCCGTTGTTTAGCGGTTTCTCTTAAAACATAGCGATGGAAGACAGGGCTACCCGGGTTGTTGAAACTGTATGGCTATTCTGGGCCTTCCATTTTGTAGTGAGTACATTTGCGATTTGTGAAAGTTTATGCAAGACTTAGTTAGATACGATTGTATGTTTCATGTTCATTTAGAATATTTTGATATATATCGTGAGTTTTGTTCCATTTACCTTTCAACCCTCTGCCCTATTGACTAGACTAAATCTCCTTTCAGCAAGTAATTTTGAAGCCAGGATGCATTAACCATGTGATTCAATTGATATATGACCAATGGAAAACTAAACTATATCCTCTCTACTTTAAATACAGTCAGGAAAATTCGAGTTATATATGTCTCGACGTTAGCTGGGTGTGTGGTATATTCTATAAATACTAGCCTTTCAAACGATAAGGAATATAGTTTACATTAAAGACATAAGTTGTAAAGCTGTATCAAGAAGTATTCATCTTGATATCGATTAACATCATAGCGCTTCGATCAAACGGTTATGATCCCGAGAAGGGTCGGCAGTCAGGTGACTTGAGAGCGGTTATGTTTAGCAGGACGTGCATCTCTAACCACGTCAATAACGCTTTAAAATACTACACCTGCAGGGAATTGTTTCTTTCAGTTCCTGCTCATTTAAATAAAAAAGGGAATTGCATGATACATAATTTTTTCACTGAAGCGTCCAATTTTGGAATTTTCTTTACATGTCTTCCATAAACAGCTGTTTCAAAGCGTAACTGAGGCTTTCAACGTTCAACAACAATGTTCAAGGAATCGTACAACACAATTTGAAATCTTCGCAGAAGGAACATGCTTGATTGTATCTCAAAAGTTGTGAAATGTGGTCACCAAGGGCTGGAGCTGCTTGGATATTAGTGAGAGTTAGCCTCTTGTCATACGGACATTTTAAAGGACAGGTGGAGAGCCCAGGGACGTGCTTGACGTTGGGATCGTTGTTCCCAATGCTAGTCAAATATTTCACTTTTAACTGGCCGCCGTAACACACCTGAAATTGTTGAATCTCGCATTAAACAATGCACAAACATCAGAATAAATCAGCTTAGTCTAGATCTTATGACATGTAACATATAATGTAGGTACGCGGAAGTCAAGAAACACAATCGTGATTGGACTTGTTTCTGATGTGAGAATCAGATTCATAAGTTATAGATTTACTTTAAGGCCATAATGCATTGAATCACAAATTGAATAACCTGTAATACTATGATTCTTCTTATCTTGTCATATTTCAGGGGTTTGTGAATGGCATCCTGGGACCGACCCTGCTAGATCTCAAGGAAATTGTCCGTTCGAGCATGGAGGAGATGAGTTACATCTTCTTTGTTCGTGGAGCAGGCTTTGTTGTGGGAGTAGTCCTATCCTATGTCCTTGAACAATGCATGAGTACGAGGCTCATTCTGACGTGTTCTCTCCTCATTGGCTGCACAGTACAGTTCGCACTTCCGTATGGAACCGTCTTTTACTGTCTGGCCGTGGCGTTCTTTATCATGGGTGTTACTGCGGGAATAATTAACAATGGTGAGTATTCTGGGGTTCGAAGATTGTATACATTCACTTAAAACATTCATTGATTTCTTCAGGACAGGACAAATCTGCCTTACATTGTTGAGGAAGATTTTTGCCAATGCTAAAACGAGTGTACAGTGTTTTCAAAGACATGATCGCAATGCACTTTGAACCTGACATAATTAGGACGTTATATTTTGATTGTTTAACACATTACTGAAAGACTTTATCGGAAATGTTTGATGGCTCACAATTTAAGTAGCGTAGTTGTCCAAAAAGAAATTAATTGCACAAGGTTAGAAAAAACCTTGTGACATAAAAAGAACAATGTTCACGAACCTATAATTACCAGACAGCCATTATTGTCCCAACTTTGAACAATCCATGAATACCTTCAATAATTAACCTGCGACTTGTAATGTCACTAGAATATTTCTGCTCTGAACATTTATTAACACATCTTCAAGAATGAAATATACTAGTATCTACAAAACTATATCGTCGCTCTACGCTTCTAATGGTTACTTTATACCAGGATAAGCATGACCCGGGCTTAAGTTATTTTCTTTATTTCAGTGACAATATCAATATGCAACAAGTTGTGGCCAGAGAAGAAAGGAGTCCCTTTTCAGTTCGTTGTAGTTGGCAGTGGAATTGGCTCCTTCCTTGCTCCCTTCTTGGCCACACCCTTCCTCGCCAACACCGACTCCTCGGACGACGACCTCTGGATAACGAATACCACCATCGCTGATCATCTCCGATCTTATGTTAATGGAACACAGTCACACACTCCCCTTGACCAGTCACGTGTTCAGTATGTGTACATGATCGCCGGTCTTATCTGCGTTCCACCCGTGTTTGCGTTTACGTACTATCACTGGAAAAGGAAATCTAATCCACTTATAAACTATGAAAATATTCAACAAACAGATAAACAATTATATTCTTTGAGAACAGTTATATTTATCGCTCTTCTTTGTTTTTATCACATAACAGTACGTGGCGTTGTGCTTGCTTACGGTGACCTATTGACCCCTTATGGTGTTGACGTTGGCCTTCACCTTTCCAAGTTTCGGATGGCAATGATGACGTCGATCTTTTGGGGATGTTTTCTCCTCGGGAAAATACTCAATCTCCTCTTGTCGGACTTTTTTCAAATTTCGTCCTCATTAGTTTAAATATCAGTTGTATGTTTATTGCATGTGTTATTCTCTCAGCGGCGGGACACAGTCATGAAGTGGTATTGTGGATGGGAACAGCTGTGATGGGAGTGTCCAGCTCCTCTTCCTTTCCAATGGTTCTGGCCTGGAGCGCTGAGTATGTACATCTCACAGCGGGGATAATTACTCTGACTATAATGGCAAACAGCATAGGATGTATTGTAATCCCTTTTTCAGCGGGACAGTTATTCACACGTTATGCTCCAAATATTCTCATGTACTTTATAACTGTGATTGTGACGTATAAGGTTCTTCTGTTCCTGTTCTTGGTGATATGTTCCAATGGCATGAGCACGAGTTATCATTGAATGGGTTGGAATGAAGGGCATTCAATACACTGGATCATATTTGGATGCATTAATTGAATAGGCCCCAGTAAATAAAACATGACAACCCATTCTATCAAAGAAAACGTTTATAGCATCCATGGACGATTCCATTTATAAGCATGTATCAAATAGTGACGTTACTAGGTTTGTGTCTTGCCCCGGTATCCGCCATAAACACATTCAGAGGCAAATCAATTGTTTATCTAAACAAATAGCACCATGTTACGAGTCAGATGACATATTTGCGGCATAAAGCTTTTTGAAGACTTTCCTAACGCCTCGAATATTGCAACACCGATTGCACAAGTTAAGATAGTATACATAAGAGTGAGTGAGTGAGTGAGTTTAGTTTTACGCCACACTCAGCAATATTCCAGCTATATGGCAGCGGTCTGTAAATAATCGAGTCTGGACCAGACAATCCAGTGATCAACAGCATGAACATCGATTTGCGCAATTGGGAACCGATGACATGTGTCAACCAAGTCAGAGAGCCTGACCACCCGATCCTGTTAGTCGCCTCTTACGACAAGCATGGGTAACTGAAGATCAATATTCTAACCCGACGGACGTTCACGGGTAGTATACATAAGACGCTGTGAAGGGAATACAATTAAGTATGGATATTCTGATAGATTATCAGTATAAATGGCAAGTTATAGTCATGCACACAAACAGGTGCAGATACAAATGTTTCACTTAGCTTTCACTGGGTAAATCTGCGGAAAGGTATGGGGTATGAGTGTGCCATATTGAACGATATCAGATTACTGATACACCTGAAACTGAAGTTAAAATATTTGGCCTATTAATATTGTTTTGATTTTAAGGAAAAAGCAAAATTCAGATGACAATAGCCTTCATCACATTTTTCACAGAAGGTATACTTGTCAAGAGTGGCGAGCAAATGACTCGGTTCATCAGGCTCGGTGATTTGGCCGATCGTTTTATCATGACAACATTGTACGACTGAGGCAGCTCGAAAGCTCTCACATATCATGTTTTTCATGGCATGTCTTAATTAAAAACGATTTAAAATAATCTGTAACTTGTCATTTAAGTTTTTTTGTCTTGCGCCTTGTATATAGATGATGACACCAGTAAGTCGGTTCACAACAAACAAAAGGTGACACTGGACTGGGTTCTGTATAAATACAGAATTAATCATGGATCTCATAAACAGATTTCAGTGATTAATCAAAATAATTTTGACTTCACGTCGAATTGAATTTTGTGTAAGTAATTATGATGCAAAATCACAGCACACGTCACACATATCTGTAACATGTTGTGTAATGTATATTGCACCGATTCGGCTCTGATTTGTTTGTTTGCGTCTTTGTTGTCTAACGCCGCTCTCATGCTATATGACGGTGGTCCGTGAGTGAATAATATGCACAAGACACCCCGTGATTGATATCATGAGCATTGTTCTACGACATGCGTGGGTTTTACCCCGGATCTTTACATGTAAGTGCAGCTATGAGGACAAACAACTGAGATGGATATACTTGGATGTAGAGGAAAAAATGCGTCATCATACACATGAAAGGATCAGCATCATGTGTACTATAGGTGTGAAAGTGAAGTGTTATATATCTAGACCTGAAGACGCTAATGTGGATTTTACTGAATTATTTCAACGTTTCAAGACATTGTCATGACAGTGGTTAAAATAGGAAGTTATAATTTGTTAAATGAGGCTAATTATGTTGTGCGATGTCGTGTCCAAACGGTTACCGCGTTCGTTATCCTTGACGAACCAGGTTATTGATTTTCAGCATTTCATACCTGTCGTATAAGGTGACTAACTGTGCTCGGAGCTGAAGGCCGTCTGACTTGGTTGATGAATATCATCGCATCCCAATTGTGGAGTTTGATGATGATGATGAATATGATGATGGTGAAGACAATCCGGGCCACTTGATTTGCTACTCCAGTGTTGATTATTTGTATGCCGGTGTCATACGGCTGAAATATATTTGATTGGAGAGTTAAACAGAACCATGCAGTTTGATTTGATAGCACATGATCAGACACACGATTGTCACAAGTTAAAAGACTGCGGGCATATGACAATTGACGGGAGCCTGAGCAGCAAGATATCGGCAGTCATTATTTTACGAGCGTTTCAACCAGTCTGTTATTTCGTGAAGCTAAGGAGTAACCTGTACTGAACATTGGGGATAGGATATGGATAGGATAGGGTTCTCGTTTTCCCGTTTATGTCTGCTCGAATATTAAGTAATAACAAATAGCATTTTCATTTACACTATTCATGGAGAAGTATTATCATGAACTTTCATTCCCTTAAAACTATGTCAAAAAAATTCCCCACCCCCCACCCTCCTCCTCCTACCAATACCAACCCTCACCAAGCCTTCCTCCGTGCTTCAGTATAGAGTGAGGGGCGGTGGGGTAGCCTAGTGGTTAAAGCGTTCGCTCGTCATGCCGAAGACCCGGGTTCGGTTCCCCACATGGGTACAATGTGTGAAGCCGATTTCTGGTGTCCCCGCCGTGATATTGCTGGAATATTGCTAAAAGCGGCGTAAATCCAAACTCACTCACTCACTCAGTATAGAGTGCAGGGTGGAAAGTGTCTGCATGTATAAAAGGGTCACTATGTGAGTGGAACTCACGTGTCTTGTATATTTATGTTATTATGAGATAACATTTGGAAATAATCTTTTTCATGTATATCTACTGTTCCTCTGTATGTTTTCTTTGATTTCTTCGAAAAGGGTGCACAAGTGAACTCTCATGGAATATATTACAATACAGACATGGCAATACCTACCAAAGCTGTACGTTTTAGAAATATATTTAGCAATATACTTATATCGTAAACCGTTCACTCTACATCTTGTTTCTAATTTTTTTACAAATTTTGTGCGTTCGTCATTGCAGGACCGAATTATATGTGATGCATATTGCTGAATGACTGAAAGTTTGATCGGCCATGGGAGAGTACGTGACAACGTCACCACTGAAGGCGAAGGCTGATGCTCATACTGTCAACCACTTATTTACAACCCGTGTCATCAGAGAGATAGTGCTGACCAGGTCTGTCGTAAAACAAGACTATTTCTAGAAACACCTTTGTGTGATATATACATTTGGATATCGTACAGTCACGCCTATCTGTAATCCGTCAGCTACCTCAACCTTAAAACTGAATCTTTTCAGTTGTTCTCGTAAGACTTTCAAGTCCTCACATACCTTCTGTGCATTGGGTTTTTTTTCAATCTGATTAAGATTATAGCCATATTGCCACAAAATATTCAGATAAAGGATAAGAAGAGATTATATGCAGTGAAGAGTGACTCCCGCATACATAATAGTTTGTATATATTTACTAAAAAGCATTCAGCTTTCATGCATTTGTATGCCTAAAGTACAGCTCTCGCTTAAAACAATGCGATTGGTGGGCACTAGTCCATGCGTGTTAACAATCACGTGCACTGTCACGTGTAAACGATGTTTAATCTTTACGGTGTGCAACTTTTACTCAGTAACCGATAAAATGCGTTAGGAGGAGATACGAAAAACAAATTTCGAAGAAGATAGAAGTTTTAGAGTACATGGTGGCATTTGTTTGGCTTCAGAGAAGTTTGTTGTTTAACGTTGCACTCACTAATATTCATGGCATTCCAGGTCTGTGGCAGCGGTCTTTAACACTACTCGAATCTGGACCAGACAATCCAGTGATTGATAGTATGAGCGTTGCTTGTCACACTTGGGATGATATGACATATGACAATGTCAGGCCACTCGCTCCATATAGCAAGCATGGGTTAGCTGAAAACAAATTCTAAACCGGATCATCACGGGATTGGTACACTGAGTTGGAGCGCGAGATCAACCCGCGAATATAGGCGGATGCTTTGAACTTACTGATACCAGTGACAAACTTGGTACATATGTGCCACCACGATTATGTGTTCATGTTTCATTCCGTGTATATACAGTGTTTTTTGTTTTCATCCGTACAGCATTGTGTAGTACATCTTGAACAAGGAGACAATATTTGCCTGCAGCACTGGAACCTATGCAAGATCTTCCTATCCTGGTAACAAACAATCAAGAACAGCAAACGTGATTTTCAATAATAAGGATGTATCAAACAGCATCAACCCAAAAGTATTTACACGACAACTATCACATATGATAGATTCGTGAGGTCAGTTATATGAGGTTGCCATGAGCCGTCGTGGAGATGTCAGGTTAGAATTCCCCTACAACACATTCTGATCGAGGCGTCGCGTAGATGTCAGGTTAGAATTCCCCAACAATACATTCTGGTCCGTGAAACGTCGCGTTGATGTCAGGTTAGAATTCCCCAACAACACATTCTGATCGAGGCGTCGCGTTGATGTCAGGTTAGAATTCCCCAACAATACATTCTGGTCCGTGAGACGTCGCGTTGATGTCAGGTTAGAATTCCCCTACAACACATTCTGGTCCGTGAGACGTCGCGTTGATGTCAGGTTAGAATTCCCCAACAACACATTCTGGTCCGTGAGACGTCGCGTTGATGTCAGGTTAGAATTCCCCAACAACACATTCTGGTCCGTGAGACGTCGCGTTGATGTCAGGTTAGAATTCCCCTACAACACATTCTGATTGAGGCGTTGCGTTGATGTCAGGTTAGAATTCTCTCAACAACACATTCTGGCCCGTGAGAAAATATGAAACAAGTGACTTAAGAGTGAACACTAGTGAAT